AACATAGTATAGATCATACAATAAAAAATAAAAGGCAAGTTGTTAATATACTCACAAACGTGGAGCTATGGGCCCAGCTCCAGGTTAAAACGTCTTTGGATCCGTTTAGGCGATCCACCCCTATAAATTATGTTTTTCCTTTTGGTCCTAAAAAACACAACAGGGGGACCACCAATGGCGCAGTATCGTTTGTATATAAGTTTAAGAATATGAGATTCCAAAATTAATACTCACAATGCTGGAGTCATACACATATGACTCAATGTAACCCGCACTGTGCAGATTAAGGACTGCACTCCTTCTTAATAGAGAAGTAAAAACTGGAACCAAATGGTGAAAAAATAATAAAAGAAACTATTTATTACATATACATACAAAATTTCAAAATGCCTATATCGGCTGTAGAGACCGGTACGCGTTTTGCCAAATTAAATTGGCTTCCTCAGCCGGATAAAAAATGGTAAGTGTCCACAAAGTCTCTTCGTCGGTTTTTAAATTCTCTCTGATTGGCGGGTAAATGCTCGGTTCAAATTCCTGTCACACGCTAGTGCCGCCCACTAGCACAGCGTGTGCGGTCCATGCCTCCTTTTCGTTACGGCACTCGCAGGTGCCGAGATGTAAGAAATCGGGATGTACCAGAAGAAAAATTAGGGATATTGATTTGAATGGTACAGTTACAACTCAAATAAAATCATTTATAACGTGCTATTCTAAGAACGTGATTTATCTACTAACTTGCCCATGTGGGCTAAATTATGTGGGGAGAACTACTAGACCCCTACATGTTAGAATTAGGGAACATATATATAAAATACAAACAGGTTATGAACAACACAGTGTGTCTAGTCATTTCAAAACTGCATCATGCCCAGAAACCAGAGGGCTTAACCTTTTGCGGTATAGATAAGGTGAAAAAAAAAAATTGGAGAGGAGGGGATTTTATAAAAGATTTGGGAAAACGAGAAATGGAATGGATCTATAAACTAAACACTTTAATCCCTTATGGCCTCAACTCCGATTTTGAACTGTCATTTTTTATGATGGTTTTATTTGTAGTGATATAAATTATATAGAATTATTTTTAATTTGCATTTTTTACCCCATTTAGAAGGGTTGTATAATTTTAATTGTATTTATTTTTATAATGTTCTTTATATTTGTTTGATGCTTCTTTTAGTATGTTTTTAACATCATTACTATTCTCCATGGAAAGGGAACTAAACCAACGTGGATAAAATAAGGCAATTGATAAAATAAAGAAGGGCTAAGTAGTGAAAAGTAGTCCAATTCAATTTAATTAAATGGATTGGTTCTGTCTAATGGTACCTCTAGAATAGTTTTTCCATTTTTGAACATTTTTGTCACTTTTAGAATGTTTTTAACATTATTATTATTTTCCATAAACAGGGAACTAAATAAGTGTGGATAGGATAAGGCAATTGATAACATATAGAAAGGTTAAGTAGGGAGTAAAGAGAGAAAAATAAATAAAATGGATTATGAATCAATTTGAGATAATGATACAATTGTAACTGTATGATAAGCAGTGTGAAATGGGATTCGATATAAGTTACCATCTGTAAATGTATCTCTGTAATAGGATTGCAACAATATGTGTTTTAATATCAAGTTTATAAAAGACTTGTATTTTGCAAACTTTACTGTAAATGAATGATGCTGTGTACTTTTTGGCCTTCATTATACTTATCTTCATTTTTAATGTGATTTAGAATAAGGTATTTTTCTTTATTATGGACTGATACTGCGCTTTTCTTTTCTTTTGTTTTTTTTTCTGACTTCCATTATTGCTGAATTAAAGAAAAAATCATACAAAGTGAACTTGGAAACGGTAAAACCAGAAGGGAGAGAGGATACTCCCATTCGCTACAGAGAAAGCAAGTAGGAGAATAACATCTCGGCACCTGCGAGTGCCGTAACGAAAGGGAGGCATGGACCGCACACACTGTGCTAGTGGGCGGCACTAGCGTGTGACGGGAATTTGAACCGAGCATTTACCCGCCGATCAGAGAGGATTTAAAAACCAACGAAGAGACTTTGTGGACACTTACCATTTTTTATCGGGCTGAGGAAGCCAATTTAATTTGGCAAAACGCGTACCGGTCTCTACAGCCGATATAGGCATTTTGAAATTTTGTATGTATATGTAATAAATAGTTTCTTTTATTATTTTTTCACCATTTGGTTCCAGTTTTTACTTCTCTATTAAGAAGGAGTGCAGTCCTTAATCTGCACAGTGTGGGTTACATTGAGTCATATGTGTATGACTCCAGCATTGTGAGTATTAATTTTGGAATCTCATATTCTTAAACTTATATACAAACGATACTGCGCCATTGGTGGTCCCCCTGTTGTGTTTTTTAGGACCAAAAGGAAAAACATCATTTATAGGGGTGGATCGCCTAAACGGATCCAAAGTCGTTTTAACCTGGAGCTGGGCCCATAGCTCCACGTTTGTGAGTTTAAATATTAACAACTTGCCTTTTATTTTTTATTGTATGATCTATACTATGTTAGATTGTCTTTTACAGATATCTAATCGAGACATTCACATTATCTTCATTTAAATCGCTTCAAAAGGTGATTTACTATTTCTTCTTTTCAATAAGCGCTACATTCATATATTTTGTACTGTATTTAATGTGTGATGTTGGAAGGGGTCCTTAGAATGTTTTAGCAGCTACATTTTTATTTGTTTTTCTATATAAGGTTCACTGACTATTATATCTATAAACGCTGGTTTCTTTAAAATTTTTTGTTGATCCTCTCGACTGCAAAACCGAAGTTCCTCGTGAATTTAAAGCTGAATGCTTTCCAGCCCAAACTGAAGATGAAGATGTTGAGGGGTTATATAGCACTGGCGATCCCCTCATGGACCAGGTCTTTGATGAATTGGGTGCTCGTTGCATAGCAGCTTTGGAGGACGAGCAGTCTGAATGCGATGGTAGTACCAGTACGCAGTTTCCTAATGTTGTCTCGGTACCAGAGTACCCTTATACCACCGTCTCTTTTCTGCAAGAGCCACTTGCCTATTCCCAGACTGAGAATACTGACTACCAAGATGAACGCTTTCGACACCGTTCAGGAGGGTACAAGTCTGGTCAGAGAGTGTCTCAAGCAAAGTCTGCCCAGCCACGAAGCAGAAACAGACTCACCGGAGACAACAACCAGAGTTACTAATTCCTCCCTCACAGTGCCAATTGAGGAGACCACCAGTAACCTTGACCAGGAGACTGGATTTGATCTGGGAGTCTGCCCCACAAAGGACAATGCATTTGTTACTGTAAGTGTCTACACGCGATGCAAGTTACGACAAGGCTGGACCATTGAGGTTGGAAACCAATCTCGTTGAAGGTGTTCCTCCTGTCAAAAGGCCACCACGTAGGAAACGTGGTAAATGACCTACTTCTTTCAAAACATTGTCTGAGAATGCTGAAAAACCTAAGGTGGAAGCCTCAGAGCAACCAGTGGAAGAGGAGGTTATTGTGCCAAAGGCAGCTCACGACTTTGATGTGGAAAGGTTTGATGATTCCAATTTAAACCCTTCTACCTCTGGGGGATCGAAGATTGGCACCTTTCTCATAAGCGTAACTGTGAAAAATGAGTTGTCACCAAGTAAAGAAGACTGTTATCCTCAAATGGAAGACAGAGAGCCAGACTTGGTGCACCGTGACAAACCCGTGATGTATCAAGCCCAAGAAAAGGATCTAAATGAGACCGGGCTTGTTCAGAACCCACAGTCTGAAGAAGACTCTATAATCCTATGTAAATCTAATACCGTTCTTCAAGTTACATGCTCTGGTAGAACAATTTCTCCGCTGCAAGAGGAAACACGAACTACCACACTTGTACCTGAACCAAGCGTCCTAGATTATTCAAATCAGCCGCTTAACCAAACTCCAAAGGAAGTGAGTGAAACCGAACAAGAAGGTAGCATTCACACATCTGGTACCTGCTCCCATGATGAAGGAAGCTCCTTCTATGACTCATCAGTTGTCATGATGTCTGTCACTCCACCTAAACCTCAGCAAGTATTAAAAGAAGACTTGCCTTCAGTTGCGAGTAGAGAATGATTTAAGTAACCAGGTATCTCTAGCCGTTACAGAATTATATCAGTTCGAGAGAGAGTCGTCCCTGCTTCGGCTGGCCCCATGCTCCAAGATATTGGATATTGAGCTGTTCCTTGATGAATTTCTGCGGTCTGAGGAGGAGGGTTCGCAGAGTGCTCCTGATCCTGTACTCGTTAATCTAGGGAATTCTCCTCGATTGATTCCAGTGGTACCTACCCAAGATAACGCAGAGACTATTCTCCCTTTTACAGAAGTTGCATCTCAGTCTATATTCTGAGTATTTTACAAGCCAGAAACCAAGTCAGACCCAGGACTTCTGAATGGTGCACCTGTTACCAGCAATAGCCCCAGATCTAGTGGGTTGGCACGTTTGTCAGTCACCGGTAATGAGTGTTTCTTATCGTATGTGTCTTTAATTTCTGTTTCTGTGTCTGTCCTTCTAATGTTAAATGTTACTCTACAGTCCTTGCTTTTATATGTTTCTATTCTGCTTTGTTGGTTTCTCCCGTGGGATTCTCTACCTCTCATTCCTCCTGAACCTCCTCCTTGTTTTCCTCTACTGGTTGGGTGAACCTGATTTTCTTTTGTCACCCGTGGGGGGTCTTGGGGATTTGGACACCAGGAGTCGCTCCTCAAGGGGGGGGTACTGTCACGACACTCCTTAGTTGATTTGCCCTCGTGCAGTACTCACACTCACCACTGTTTCTGTTTGGCACTGTTCCTGATTTCTTTTCATTAAGCACTTCACCTGGTCCTTGTTAAGCACCTATTTAGTTTGGGTTCTCCCCTCACTCCTTGCCAGATCATTGCCTTTTGATTCCTGTTTTGCTGGTCTCCTGTGTTCCTGCATACTGTGACTTGGTCCTGTGTCCTGTGTTCTCCTGGTCTTCATACTGTGTCCTCCTGGTCCTTCGTTGCTGTGTCCTCCGATCCCGTGCTCTGGTTCCGTGGTCTCTGCTTTACTACCAGTGATCCTGTCCCTGCAGCTTTGCTCATTTATTCGACTTCTGGTCTTGCTTCTTGATGTCACTACATTAGTCTTGTGACTCTGGATCTCTGCCCTACCTGATACTCGTGGTAGCTGCACAATCCTGCCCTTATACCAAAGGACTGTTACAGTATTTGTTGCCTGTACGATTCGTGCTTATTTTGATTTACTGTATATATTTTGTGGCCTTGTGTGTGTGTGTATGTGTGTGTGTGTATGTGTGTATATATATATATATATATATATATATATATATTATATTTCTTGATTTGTTTCCCTATTCATTTGTGTCTTGGCATTTATTTCTTTGCTATAGTGGTTCCCACATTTAAAGTGACAGTGCTGCTCCAGGGCAGCACCCCTTCATGTCATTACAGGTACATACCGAACCCAGTACAATAATTAAGGAATGCATTCAAAGACATGTCTGGTTGAGATGTGTATTTGCATTGGTTGTCTGTAATAAATTTGATTATTTAATTTTGCCCTCTTCTTTCTCAGGCCTACCTCATCGTCGGTTCCGGCACACCAGAACTGAATTGCTCTTTTATACCATCCTACGTTCATTATGGTATTTTACAAGGGACTATCATGAACACCTAACACAAGTATTAAGGCCATTTGGCCTGTAATTGTGGGAGGTGTTTGTTATTCACCCCTAGCCTACTTAAGGGACACCCCTTACCTGGCTCCATACCGTTCGAGGTCAGTGTTGTTGACGTAACCTGTATATAGGACAAAGTTGGTTGTTGTGTGCTGAAACCGATGTATGCGATAGGCCAGTAAATAAAGTGGGCAAACGTAGAAGTATCATGCCAAAGAATATTTGTTAATACATGGAACATAATACAAAGGATTTACCTCAAGCTGACCTAATTTCTAGCACAGGTTGAGGTATGTATACAGAGAAAGTGGATGACTGTGGATGACTTCCAACGACCTAATGACTTGATCACATGAACTGGTATGTCCTGACTGGATGCCACAGAAGCTGCCCCTATCCTGAATACTTACTAGCGTTCAAACCTAGCCTAGTTAGTAATACCCGTACATACTGCATAAACTTTGAGGTGGTCAGGACAGTCCCGTGGAGGACCAGCGGATGTATATCTGACTGTGGTGGTAGTATTAGGAAATATGAATCCAGAACCTTTACCAGGCACCATTTATTTTGAGTGGGATAATAAGAGATGTGAACTGATTGACCTAGCTAACTCATTTTTGTAATGCCAAAGATTGGACATAATGACATAGTGATCTTGATGTTTAACTAGATAAGAGCATTAAAAGCATTCTCGTGAGTTTTTGTTACAATGGATGGTGAATTCAAGAAATCCATAATAGGCCAAGTAGATAGCCGTTTTGATGACTGAATTTGTAACGTGTTCGAACGGGGCTGCGTCTAACAAGTCTGACATATCCTTGAATATCTGTTTGATGTGGAGTAGGGTCGATGGCTTTATGTATGCCTTAAAGTATGGTCTTGATTGGGTAAGAAGACAGAAAACTAGGGTTGTTTGGAAATAATGTATACATATGGTGCTGAATGCCAGTTAAATATAGCTTGATAGTGTTATGTGATAATTTAAGCCTAAGGTGGCAAAAGTTACGAAAGCTACCAGAGATGAGTTGTCAAACATGAATTTCTTATACATTGAGAAAGCTATATTATAAGACAGCCGCGTGTTTTCCAAAAGGGCCAAGCTAGTCAAGAGGAGACTATGATCCAATAACTCTTCTAATCCATGACTGGCTCCTGAAATGGAGGGGCAGCAGTGGCTGTCAGTGAGGCCGTGGGTAGCGTTTCTCTGAAGGCCTGGAAGTCAAAGCTGCAGTATTAAAAACACAGGGAATATGACAACAAACCAGATAAAAGTGATTGCAGGAGTCCTGTTCTATCATCCGCTGCTCATGGAGTGGAGAGTGGGATTACTAGACCCCCAACTACTTCGGGTGAGGCACTCTAGGAGCGCTGTGTTCGTCACCATTTTGTGAGTGCATTTCATGTGGCGCATGACACATTGATTTTTACAGTATTGCATTTTCTGTTTATTTCCTTCTGTTCTAGATTAACCCAGCCGTATCCCTAAATATGTAGTTGGTTGGGGGCGTGGCCGACGACCGGACTGAATGGCCGCACACTAACTTAGCTCCGAGCTGAAAGGGCTGAAAACTCCGTTATCGGAGACACGCCATTGAGATGGGGCAAAAAGCAGCAGACCACTCACCCACCAACGGGGAAGACCCCGGCGGGCAAACCGGGATCGGTAACCTGCCTATTCCGCGACTACGCTGATCGCGTCTCGGAGCATGGAGACTCCAGCATGGCGCCGGCTGCGGCCTACACGTGCACCCAGCCACAAAGCCCAGCGGCATCCGAAAGCTCCACAGAAACACCAGATGTGGACAGTAAGGAGCTTCTGAGAAACCTACCCTCCAAAGCTGACCTGGCACAAATGCTGGGGAAAATAGAATCCACATTCCAGCACAAAATGGAGGTCCTCAGCTCTGATATCCAAAAGGTAGGACACAGGGTACAGGACCTGGAAGACGAGAGGGGATCCTTTCAGACACAGATACAAGACCTAACTGCTAAAGTGAATTCC